CTTTTTTATGTATTGACTCCTTTTGTCCGCACCATGGGATGTGGGTCCAAGGCTGAGCCAAGTGGTATGTTTCAAGGGTCCACACCCTTAATCTCCATGGGACACTGCCCCTTATTTCTTGGCCTGGGGTCCCCACACCAATTCGGGAATTCAGGTCATGTGATATTCAGACCCCACAGCAGCCACCTGAGCTACAGGCCAGAGTGACAGCCTATCAAAGGTGACTTTTTGTTCATGTTCCCTCGGGGGCCCCCCTAGAATGAACAGAAGTTTTCTGGTGGGGTAGCACCTGAGGACTGGCTGATTTCTGTGGAGAGCTGACTTCCAGCCCCCTAGGCATGTGGGTCTGCAGCCTTGACCTCCCCTGGCCCACACATGTGTGGGGACCCTAGCCCCGGCTGCAAAGGCCTTAGCAGTTCCACTCGACTCTGCTCACTGTGCTCACTCGTTCTTTATTTCTAGCTGATAGTGACTTCCCTTTCTTAGCTCCTATCTCAGCTTCGCTCCTTGGTTTTTAACTTGGTTGCATTTTATCCAGCATTTATTTGTGTTTCTGTGTTTGAAGCAAGCAGTTGGGAGGGAGGGGCCTTTCCTCATCAGCTCAGTCTACCATATTGCCTCAAAGTCCAAAACACAGTCTGCTAAGAGAGGCTTCTGGCACTCACTGTCACTTCCTGGAAACCCAAGTTGGATTTCAGACATGCCAAGCTGTGAGCTGTCCGAGGAACACGTGAGCAGAGGACGGGGGGGTAGGCAGGCGTGGGAACGCAGGTCTAGGGCTCCGGAAAGAGGCTGGGGTGAGAGCTGAGGGGGCAGCCACCTCCGGGGCACAGAGCTGATGGCTGATGCTCTCCAAGCCGGTGACATCCCCTAGGGATGAGAAGTGGACTGGGTAGGGTAGGAAGTGGGGTCAGAGCCTCCAGAACACTTAGTGGGTGGGAGGAACAAAAGCCAGCAGGGAGGAGCCAGCGGACAGATAGCAGGAAGGGAACAAGTCGAGTGAGAAGAGATTTTTCAGGAGGAGGGTGATGAACAGTGTCCAACGTTGTGAGGATGTCAAGGAGGATGAGGGTGGCAGTGTCAGCAGAATTCGTGGTTGGGAACTTCTGAGGAATGTCTGGGGAAGGACAACTGGGGGGTGCCTCCCATCTCCTCCCCCCTCACCCAAGGCTCGGGAAAACCTGAACAGGCAGCCCGTGCCTGTCACCACCTTCTCAACAACATCCGAGGGGGCTTACTGGGACACTTCCTGGATGAAAGACTCTAAAATCCAAAATATGAACACATCTGTCTTCTCAGGGTATTTGCCAAGTAGCCATTCTCAGAACCGCAGCTTGGTGACTCTGCGCCCCCAGATATCTGGGAGTGAGAGCCCCATTCTCAGAAAGCTCCCCTTCCGGGTCACCACCCTGCAGGCCAGGCCTCCTGACCCACCGGCTGAGATGCCCTCCCAGCCAGAAACTCCAGTTTTCACTTTGCTGCTGCAGATGAGTCAAAATCTCTAAATCTCTGGATCAATTCAGTAGGAAAGAGTGAATCACAATAGGAATGTGCACGGAGCTAGCTGTGCGTGTATGCGCGCGCATATGTGTGTGCACGTGGGTGTGTGTGGATGAGTGTGGATGATGTGCAGCACATGGCTATAATTACTATTATGAGTGACTCACCCATTCTCCAGGAATTCCATCCCCCAGGTCACTCACGAATAAGTCAGCCTCCTACTGGGACCAGGTTACACCGTTTCCCAGTTGCTTGGGCCCAAAACCCAGGAATCCTCTGTCCTTCATTTCTTTTCCTCATCTCCAACATCCCATCCATCGCAGACCCTGCCAATTCCATCTTCAGAATGCCTTCCCGACCAGTGTACTTCCCTCCATGTCCACCGCCACTTCCTCCATCCCAGCCAGCAACACCTCTCTCCTGGATTCGGCCCTAACGTCCTAACTAGGCCCCACTTCCGCTGTTGGCTTCTTCCAGAATCCCCCACTCAATTTGTTTTCCACACAGTAACAACAGTAATTAAAAAACAAAAAACAAAACCAGCTGTAAAGCAGATCACAGCGGTCTCCTGTTTAAACCCCCTTCCCACACTTAGAATACAACATAACTCCTCTCCCAGGCATGAGCCCTCCGTGATCGGTCCCACCTCCCACCCACAGCATCAGGTACCACCTCCTCCCGGGCCATGTTCCTGCATCACTGGCCTTTGCGTTTCTTCCTGCTGTGGGACTCTGCACTGGCCCTGCCCTCTGCCTAGAATGCTCACGCCCTCATTTCAGCACGGCTGGCTCCTTTTGTTATTCAGACCTTCCCTGAACACCCCGTCATTTCTATCACATCTTCCTGTCTTAGTCTTCTGCTTCATTTTGTTCCCATCTGACAGTTCTCTGTTCATTACTTCATGCATTCAACAAACATCAATTACCTCTTGTGCCAGCCAGACTCGGCATATGTTTATTCTCCCTCAATGACATGTCTGTCTCCTCTGAATAACATTAAAAAGCTCATGAAGACAGGGGCCTTGAGCAGAGCCTAAGGGCCTGGCGTGGAAGAGGCATTCAATAAATATTTGATCTGCAGAATGAATAAGTACACATCGTAATGTGTATACTCAGGAAATCAGAATTGGCTGATGCAACTTCTAAGGCCTCGTGGCTCTGGGGAAGCCAATACTCCAAAGTGGCCCTAGTGCTGGGATACATCGGATCCTGCCTGCGTTTTCAACCCAGGCCAGCGGAAGGTGATTCCCTTCCTGTCTGTGCATCTAGCCAGCACTCATGACGGGCCTACAATGTGCAGGCCTAACCTTGGTGTCAATCTTGGTTCTGTCCCAGCTCATCCAGGTACTTGGTCATTAGCTGTAGGACAGGGCAGCATCATTGGGGGTCACCCATGGTGCAACCGAGTGGCCGGTCTCCTCCCACACCTGTACCTCACTTTGATCCAAGTTTCCCAGATATCCAGGGTTTCAGGGCAACCCCAGGAGCCAGTCCTACCCTGTCCCCAGGGCAGTGTACTGGCCTCACGCCTCCAGACCCACTTCCCAAGCAGCATATGTGCCTGTTTCTCCCTCCCGCCCTCTGCCCAGCCCGATCCCAACACCAGGTTTCGTCACTGACAAGTCAGCTGGCACACTGGCCAAGAACAGGGACTATGGGGTCCAGCAAGGCAAGGCTGCACCATGTCAGCTCTGACACCCACTGGGGATACAGGGAACAACCAGACTTGATCGTGACAAAAGCAGTTAGAGGGGGAAGGCAGACCTGTAAACAAAACCTCAGAGCAGATGTGCTGTGCGCCGTGAAAGGACAGGTGTGGGGAGAACGACGGGGGCACAATACTGTCATCAATTCTGCTGGGCTGGAGTGACCAGGATGATGGGAAAAGATGACATGTTTGGCCCCTCCAGTTCCCAAAGGCTCTGTGCAAACCAGTGTCCTGGGACTAGCAGGACAGGTGAGTGAGAGGGGGCTTGCAAGACTCGCTAGTACCCCTCACCAACTGTAAACTTAGAGGGTCATCAAGAGTCATGACATCACGGACAGTAAAATCTGTGCACCATGAAGTTCATAATCACGGTATTCCTCTGGGTCCACACGCAGCTCCCAGAGGCCCGAGAAGTAATAATGGCATCTAAAAGATGGAAAATTCATCTGAAAAAGCATCTCCAGGCAACTGCTGGAAAAGCCTCACAGCTCAGAGCCGGGGAATCACAGGGCTGGTGGCCACTGTAGAGGCCAGCGGCTTCCAAACTTGCTTTCGACCTCCAAAGTCACTGCTCAACTGAAATTCACCCAGAAGCACAGTGCATAAAACTGACATGAACAGAGCAGCGCCACAGACAGCTGGGGCGCTGGTGGAAACAGTGTCCCGGCTGTCTGCCTGGCACCCTCCCTCTTCTCCCCCAGCTCCTCGTGGCCCCCAGAGCAGCTATGAGGAGCCCCAGGGCTCCAAAGGCATTGATGGAAAACTGCCGACCCAGGCCAGCCTCCCTGTGTCACACAGGAATCCAGTCCCCAGAGCCAGGCTCTGGGCTGCACCTGAACGAAAAGCCACTTTTCTGAACCAGGCTAACACTTCTCACTCGGCTTTGGAGAGCTACATCTATGTAAAGTCGTACTTTGAAGAAACCAGGCTCAAATCTGATCACCTACAGCATGATCTCTAAGAAGTTTAAAAGCTCCCAAACGGGCCAAGCATGGAACCGAGCCCAGCCCCACAGACGGGCAGAATGAAGTTGGGAAACGAGCTGCAGAAGCACAGCTGACAATCCCATACAGTTTCCTTCGGTTCCACGGGACATAAACAGGCCTTGAAGGCTGCGCTGTGCGGCCGTGAGAGACCCTGCACCAGGCGGGCCGGGAGGTGAATGCTAATGAGCTATGGAAAGAGCAATTACTTTCCCGTGTCAGGCCCTGCGCCAAGCGAAGGAGGAGAAAGAGGTCTGAGATAGTTTTCAAGTATTTTTACAGCAGAAAAACTTTCCTACAGACTCAATTATATAACTCTCAGACTCCACCCCTGGCCTCAAATTATCCATGGCCTTCAGGAAAAAAAATCATTTTTCCTTACATGAGGGTCACAGGTTTCTCCAGAGAAACTCCTGGCTATATGGCCTGCAACCCAGGGCAGCTGCAAACCATCAGCCCGGAGACCTTCCCGAGCGCAGTTTGGAGCCTGCCAGAGAGGAGCGCCAGCCGAGTGCCAGGCAGAAGTCACGTTGCTGACCCGGCCACCACGCAGGACGCCGCAGGGTGTGAGAAGGCCCACTCCAGGGGGCTTCCAAACCCGTGCACTCCCATGTCCCCCCACTTCCTTATCCCAGAATGGGGCTGAGGTTGCTGAAGGAGAGAGGAGAGCGTCGTTAACCCACAGTCGTCCTCTGTCGTCAGCAAAGGGCAGACTGTCAGTGAAAGCCTTCTGGGGCTGAAGGAATAAAGAGCTTCACCGACGAAATGACAGCCAAAGTGAAAGGCACAGACTCGGGAAGATTAACTTACAGCCCAGGTTTTTGTCAGCCTGAAGATGGGCGCACTCTGTAATGCTGACACCACAGACATGAGAGAATGAAGGTTGTTGAGTTCTAGAAGTTTCTGAAAAAAGACATGCAATAGATTATTTTGCTGCTATAAACAACAGAACAAAAACACACTCAAGTGTTACCAAATGTTGTCATATTTATGAAATTCAATTACACTTAAAATACCTCATGTAGAAAATATAGTTCTAGGAAGTTCATAGAAACCATATGCTCTTTTCCTTTCAAATTGTCCAAAGGTGAGTCTGCATCCACAGCATCTGCAGAATTTCACAAGCAGCCTTGTCTGGCTGCTGGGCAGAAACATGGCTCAGAACAAGGTTTGAGAGCGTCCTTCGTGTTCTTGTTTCAGACGAGTCTGAGCTGTCCCAACAGGCTTTCGTAACCAAAACCTCAGCTGCACCACCAAGACTGACGAGGGTCTCCTGCAACTACCTTAACTCACGGATGAGAAGGGCTAAGGAAAGATGGTATCCATCTGCATGAGTCTCTCGGCCGGAGGACAGCGCTCTGGCTTCCTACTCGCCTGGCTGTGCTCCTCCGAAGCAGACCCCGAATGAGTGTGAACAATGGGCCTCACCCGGGTCTCAGATAAGTTCCTTGCCACGGAGGACAACAGGAGGGGACAGAGCCGAGAGGAAGTATAGGAAAACGTGATTGCTCTGTTCTTGGTTTCATGCCAAGGGGAACCTGCTAACAGGGCTGGGGCTCCGCCTTTCTCACTGGGGGTCAGTGACGTTTGGGTCAGCAAGCAGGCTCTGCGGAACCAAGAGGGGCCTCTGGTTCCAGTCCCAGCCCCCAGTGCTCCTGTGTCCTTGGGCACAGTCACTGCTTCTGAGTACTACTTCTGAGCCTTGGCATCCTCATCCTCAAATGACGAAGTTAATCATGGCCCCTCTGCTACCTGGCACAGCTCACACGAGCTGCTTAGACCCCTCCCTGACACCAGGGCAGACACTCAAGGTGACATGGGTTGCTCACTCTTTGTTGGGGACACTTGTCCCCCAACATGTCCCCGTTGCTCGTCCTGGGTACTTCCAAGCCCAGGTGCTCCTTCCCCTACTACGTCTTTCCTGACCATGTTTCCAAGTCTGGGCAGGCTGGGGCCCCACCCCCCTTGGTCCCATGACAGCCTGTGTATCTCCTTCGCACACGGGGCTGCACTTGCTTTTACTTGCCTACTGTGTGCTATGACAGGCACTGGGGACATAACAGCAGACGCAGCTTTGTCCCTGCCCTCAGGGAACACCCAGTAGGGCCCAGTAAAGTGAACGAATAAGTGAAAAGCCCTCCTGCCCGGACATTTCTCCCTGACCACGCAGCTCACACTCGTGCCGCACATCTCATCGAGTTCCGATTACTTCCTGTTGTGTGACAACAGGTTTCCCTGTGTGAACTGAATTTCGCCCTGCACACCTGAATTCTTGCGCCTGTCACAGAACTGCTTCAGAGCTGAAGGTCCCCTGGGAGACCATCTAACCCGCCCCTTTCATCGAATAGATGGGAAACGAAGGCCCCGAGAAAGGATGAGCTTGCGCAAAACCATTCCAGGGTGCGGTGCTGTGTGGCAATCCACCATGGAAGATGGCAGAGGTTAAAGGGGGATCGATTCCGATCCCTTGGGCGGAGACCATAGACTCATTTCCAAACTGAAAGCACCAGGTGGGCTGTAACCTGATCCCACTTTCTCCCATGGCCCAGTAGGAAGCCAAGGCCCAGGCTGGTGTGAGTACTCCAGAATGCACAAGACACAAAGTGTGTACTGCCTGCAACACACACACTTTATACATGGATGCACTTCACTGTCCCATGGGGGCAGCTCCCCGAGGGCAGAGAGCATGCTCCCACTAATGTTCTGGGGGGCCCTGGGCATGGACACTCAGCTCTCTAAGCCTCCCCTCATCCTCTGGAAATGGGATAATAATAATGTGGGCATAGAATACAGTCATTCCAGTAAAGCGCCTGCTACTGTGCCTGGCCTATGGGGGGCCTCAGTAAGGACAGCTGGCCTAGGGTCTGGGTGGGAAGACCACCTGCGCACGTGAAGCGAGGCTCTGCCAGGGTTCATTCGGGCAAGCCTAGTGGTCGGGGTGTGCATGGGAAGGAGCCGGCCAGGGCGTGTAACTGATGAGAGTGGTCCAGAAAGGCCCCTGGGATCACAGCCTGGGCTGGCCGAGATGAGAGAGGAGGAGGGCAAAGGTGGGATGCAGACATGAGCCTGGTACCCAACCACTGACGAGGACAGAACCCATCAGGCCAGGGGACAGGAGCTGGGAGCTTTGCTGACTAGGGACAAAGCTGTGCAGGATGTGATGGCATCACATGCAGCAAGGCTAACATACCCATCAGCCTGGCACTGGCTAAACCTGAAGTCAAATGAATGGATCCCAGGGGTAGCCCCTGGGGCCGGCTGCCAAAATCATGAGGTGGAGGGGCCTGCTGCTATCGCACGTGTGGGGGCCTCGAGCCCAAGTGGGCAGCCAGGCTGGTCTTCCAGCTGCTTCTGTCTGTGCAAGTCAGGCCTCAGCCCCTGTTTGAACCCTGCCCAGCAGGCCCAGTGCAAAGGTGCTCCCAAATTACTGAGGAAACACATTTTTGGGGGACAAAGAAAGAAAGAAAGGAAAGGAGAGGGGAAGGAAAAAAAAACAATGGCTTACCTTGGCTATTTTCACAAAATGGCTCAGGATTTCTGCCCTTATTTTTAAAGTCTGTGCTGTTAGAATTTCTCGTACAACCCAAAAACTGACCTGCGGAGTGAAACACACATACACAGACACACAGACACACACACACACACACCAGAAGACTTGTTAGATGCCAGGCCGCTCGTGTCACCCTTGCCCACCGCTGTCAACGGCATTTCCGAGAGGTTGGGGAACTGGGACAGCACGACCTTGGGGTGTGCGGCCGAGGGCTCCTTTATGATACCAGCCCAGCCAACATGTCCCGCATCCCCAGCACCGCCTCTCCAACACACTCCGTGTGCTGGGCGAAGTGCGTGCTTCTGTTGTCTCCAGGGTGTGACTGAGCCGACAGATGAGTCTCTCTAAAGTGCCGCAGGGAACTTTGAGATGAACAGACAGGAGTCCTATTCAGAAGGACCCCAGTTGTGGGAGACCAGGGCTGGGTGGATGGATGGATGGATGGACAGATGGACAAATGGCCACAGGGGTATGCACACCCATGACACCCACATCCCCAGCCAGACATAAGACAAGAAGAATTTACCAACATTTGCACAATTGTAACAAGTTTAACTTTCTAGGATATGGTCATCCAAATACTAATTTAAATTTAGTTGTTTCAAAGTTCCCTAAAGCAATGAAGGTTAAGGATACTCCAGAGTTAACAAAGCATGTTTATGGCTGCAACCAAATATACTCTCTCCACTCAAGTACTGTTGCTTTTCCATGAGAAAACTAGGAAAGAGTAACCAAGAATCAAAACCTTGCTTTTCACATGAAGCAGGAATATTATAGAAAAGCTTTCTCTGCGTAATTATCTGTGGCTGCCTCCAGGACATGCCCCAGTTCCCATGGAATCACTTTTTCCAAGGAATTGTCTAAAATTAGGTTCAGACTCAAATGTTTAATGGGTAGTTATGGAAGAAAGATACTCTGGATACCCAGTGATAGGCCCATAAACCTTATATTTTAATACATGCACATTTTTATGCCACATAATCTCGAGTGTGATCATCCATGTGCACTGTATAATTTGATAGATTCCTGCCTGCCAGAAAATCACATACATTGAAGGCCTAACTGTGGAACAGGCAGAGTTGACCCTGACCTATAGCACATGGTATGCAGAGGCAACTCTGGGCCAGTTCAGTCCAACCGACGGCCATGGAGCCCTCACTGCGCGTGGGCTCTGGGCACCGCGAGTCCAGGCCCTTCAGTGTTTGCCTGGTAAGAAGCTGACCAGAGGGAGGAGGCAGGACCCTCCAGAAACCACTGTATTAAAAAGCAGCCAGTGACCATGGCCTGAACTGGAGTATGGAGGGAGGTGATGACAGAGAAAGGCTTCCTGGAGGAGGCAGGCCTTGAAAGATGGGTAGACTTTTAACAGGTACAGATGGCACTGCGGTGTGGCTGTATTCGACAAGACCAGGGAGAGCCGAATAGGCTGGCAGGGCGGCTGTGGCAGGTACTCTGTGGGCTGGGGGCAGTGAGGGAGACTGAGAAGGGGAGGGAAGTTTGTGGGGGTCTGGTGCAGCACGGCAGTGGAAAGGGTACACGGGGGAGTCCCAGAGGCTTCTGAGCAGGAGGAGGACAGGCTGGAGTGCTTTGCATGGACACCCCCAGGAAGCTGGCGCAAGGGCCTAAGTGAGAGATGGGAGGCCCGAATGAGGGCCACGCTGGAGCAGATGGAGAGAGGGGGCAGATGAGAAAACACTACAAAGGGGGTGAGCAGTTTTAAACATTTTTAACTCTCTTTTCTAACTACAAATTTGAGAGGAGCTCAACGCAGAAAACCAGGGAAACGGAAACGGGCACAAAGACGAGCCACTGCAACGTCGTTCTCACACGCAGAGCCTGTGGTCAAGACCGTGGCGCATGTTCTGTCTTTTCTCCATGTGAACAGTGTGCATTTCTATTTTGCAACTAAAGTGGTACATACTGATCATACTGTCATCAGGATTTTTATAAGCGAATCGGTATTCTTCTAAGATTCAATTTTTAGCAGCAGCTAAGTATTGCATCCAAGGGACGTATCGTCATCAAGTGAGCCCTATTGTTGGGTCGCTATTTACTTTGTGGATGTGGTAAAAATCTTTAAACCCATATCTTTACATAGTTTTAATAAAGGCTCGGGATAAATTCCTGTAACGTACAGTAAATAAAATTATGTGCACCTGTTTTTCAAAAGTATATATAAAAACCTTGGCCTCGAAAAGGTCTATTTGTTTATCAACAAGTTTGAGCAGATCCGGGTTCCCACACATAGGCAAATACACTGGCTATTCCAGCTCTTCTCTTTTCTACTAGACTTATGTACAAAACAATGTCTCACTGCTTCTACTTTGCATTTCTTTCATGACTACTCAGTTAACACTTTTTGCACTTTTTTTTTCCCAGTTTTGGGGGGGTTACAGATATTTATAGACTACTTGTGCTATTTGCCTTGTGAATTACCTGCTCAGGTCTTTTACCCATCTTTCTGTTGGGGCATCTGTCCTCTTGCTATTGATGAGTAAATGGCCTTTGTACATCAAAGAAAACACACTAGCCCTTTGTGAGTCATATATTGTACCAAGTGTGGAGGAGCTGGTACTTTTATACACTATTTTGGGAAATAAAAATTCAAAGGGCCATTTGAAGAACAACTTGAATGGATCTTTCAAGATGATAGTTACATTCTCCCAAGAATATTTATCTTATGAATATATAGAAGTTTAGAGGGACATATGTATACAGCTTCACTAAAGCACTATTTATAAAGCAGAAGAAGAGAAAAAACAAAATGTCCATCAATAGGGAATTGGTTGCATAAGTAATACTTTGACCTCAAACTTTCCAAGGAAGTCGCTAGAGAGGAAAGTGAGCAGCTGTTATCCACGTTGCAAAATATCTACATAAATTATTGGTAATTCTTCTGCATGAGAGGTTTGTCTTCCCTCCTCCATTTATTTATTCAACAACTTGTATCAGAATGGACTCACATATATTTATTTTACGCTTTGAGTTGTAATCCAATACTAAGTTATTTATTTTTTTGCTCAGGTTGTTCTGGCTTTGGCCACCGAGACCTCTTTCAGCTGGTCCCTGAGTCCCTTCCCTCTGACAGGACCTGGCGCTGTTCTGGTCCGTGGGCTTGCTGGAGCATTTCCTCACTGTGCGGTGATCTGTGGGGCCACAGGCGCATCTTAGTTTCCTGCCCAGCCCTAAACCAGCCCCTTCTCCAAGGAGCCTAGGATCCTTTTAATGGTATCAAAAGCCAAACCCCTAGCCACACAATCACTGGATCGTATGTGTACCATTTTGCACTCCCACCAGCGATGGATGAGAGTTTGTGCTGTTCCAGGTATTTGTCAGCAACTAGTATTTGTTGGGGGTTTTTTACTGTATTTTTAGCCATTTTAATAGGTGTGCAGTGTTTTGCATTCCCCAAAGACAAATGATGTTGAGCATCTTCTCGTGTTATCCGCCATCTGCACATTTCTTTAGTGAGGTGTCCAGATCTCGTGCCCATTTTTTAATTGGGTTGTTTTCTTATTGTTGACTTTTCAGAGTATATTTTGGATATAAGTCTTTTATCAGACATGTGTTTTGCAAATACTTTTCCCCATCTTTTTATTCTCTTAGCAATGTCTTTTGCAGAATGGAAAATTTTAATTTTAGTAAAGTCCAACTTTTCAAGTTTTTCTTTCACGAATTGTACTTTACACTATTATATCTAATAACTCATCACCAAAGGTCATGTAGATTTTCTTCTCTGCTTTTTCCTAAAAGTTTTATAGTTTTGACTTTTACATTTAGGTCTATGACTCATTTTGAGCTAATTTTTATGAAAGGTCTAAAGTCTGTGTCTAGGCTAATTTTTTACATGTGCGAAAAACTCCAATTAATTATTCCAGCATCATTTGTTGAGAAATTAGCCTTTCTCCACTGAATGTCCCCATGCATTTGTCAAAGACCAAGTGACTAGCCCTGACCAGCATGGCTCAGTGGGTGGGGCATCATCCCACAAGGCAAATGGTCACCAGTTTGATTCCCAGTCAGGGTGCGTGCATGCTTTGCAGGCCAGGTCCCCAGTTGGGGGTGTGAGAGAGGAAATCAATGGATGTTTCTCTAGTGCATCTATATTCTCTCCCTCTCTTTCTCCCTCCTTTCCTTTCTCTTGAAAAATAAATAAAATCTTTATTAAAAAAAGGCCCAGTGACTATGTTTGTCCTGTCCCATGGTTCTGGATGTCCAGTCCCTGGTCAATACCACACTGTCTTGATTGCTGTAGCTTCGCTGTCCTGAGCTCAGGTAGGGAGTGTCCTCCGACTTTGCTCTTTTTCAGCATTGTTTCAGTTATTCCATGTCTCTAGCCTACCTGCATGAACTTTAAAATCAGTTTATTGATATTTATAAAATAGCTTGCTGAGATTCACTGACATCTTATTACTGACTTCTAATCTGAAGACAGAATATAACCCTATGTATTTCCATCTACTTTGAGTTTCTGCATCAGTGTTTTGTAGTTTTTTGCATAAAGAACGAGTATCTACTTGTTAGTGTTATAACTAAGTATTTTTTCATGTGTGTGTGCACACACTACTGTAAATTTTTTTAAACTTCTAACTCCAAATTTCCATCGCTGGAATAGGGAAGCTTTTGTATACTGATCTTGTAAGCTGCGATCTTGCTATACAGTACACTCACGTATTAGTTCCAGGAGTTTTTAAAGTAGATTTGAGATTTTTCTACACAGATAATTATGTCATCTGTGAATAAAGAGTTTTCTTTCTTTGCAATCTGTACATCATTTTTTCCTGTCTCGGTGCACTGGTCAGGACCTCCAACACGATGCTGAATGGAAGTGGTAACAGAGCGCCTCGCTGCCTTGTTCCTCTAGTGTCTCACCGCTGAGTGTGATGTTGGCGGCAGAATTTTGTAAATGTCCTTCATCAAGCTGAAAAGTTCCCCTTGTTCCGAATTTGCTGAGATTTTCTTTTTGTCATGAAGGGGTGCTGAATGTTGTCAAATGCTTTTTTGAATCAACTGGCATGACAATGTCACTTTCCGTCTTTAGCCAATACATGCAATGGATTGCATCACTGGACCAGTCACGCACACCTGGGATAAACGCCACTGGGACATAGTGCTAATGAGCTTTTAAAACATATAAGCTATTATTATTACCATTATTGTTCCAGTGGTATAACTAGAACAAGAGTTTCACCACTAAAGACTAAGATATCACCTGAGAAATTTCACAACAGTATTACAGATGAATAAAGGAAAATAGTTATGAACACAAAGAATTTTAATCACCCACAAATAAAACAAAGCATAAAGAAAATTTCAAGTTAAAAAATTCTCTTTTCCTATGAGAAATCTACTTTGCCATAAATTTCTCTCAAGTCTATTCACAGCTTTTCTGGAAACCTGGAGCTGGGAGACACCTCGGGGCCGACCCTGCTCCGCAGCCCCCCCACCGTGCCACTGCCCAGGCATTGTGACCAAGCCCTGTTAGGTCTCCACCTGGGCGCTCATGGGTGGGGAGGGAGCTGCCTGCTAGTGGGATGCAGCCACTGCCTCCCCACGCCTGTCCCCTGGTCCTTGTCCTTACTGAGTAAGCCCCACAGGCTCTGCTTACTCAGCTCCCCCATAGGGACCCCTCAGTTACCTGAAAAACCCTGATCATCTCCTCCCTGAGTGTTCTCAATCCTGCATCCCTCACCTGATTTTACATAACATGCTTTCTTTCCCCTCACCCAGTGGCCGCTGTGACACCGACACGCCACTCTTGTGTGGCAGTCTGCCCTGCTCTTCATGTGGGGTACCCAGGAGAGGCAGGACAAAGCAAAGGAAAGTGGGATCACCACACACACACCCCCAGAATGGATGAAATAAATGAGTCAGTAAAATTGTAAAGCCCTGACAGTACTAACTGCAGGCAAAGACCCGAGACGGCACGGACTGCCACCCGTCGCTGGTGGGATACAGAACGGTGCTGGCCCAGCCCAGTAATCGTGCTGCTAGGCATTTACCCAGCTCATCTGCAACCTTCTGCACACACACAGCATGCATTGGTTATAGCATTATTCATAATCACCAAGAGCTGGAAGTAAGTAAGATATCCTTCAATAAGGGAATAGATAGACCAACTAGTATATCCATATGGTGGAATAGTATTCATTAAAAAAAGACATCAAGCCATATAAAGATATGGATGAATCTTAAATGCACATTGCTAAGTGAAAGAGCCAGACAGAGAAAGCTCTTTCTTTTTTTAAGATTTTATTTATTTTTAGAGAGGGGGAGGGAGGAAGAAAGAGAGGGAGAGGAACATTAATGTGTGGTTGCCTCTTGTGCACCCCCAACTGGGGACCTGGATGGCAACCCAGGCATATGCCTTGACTGGAAACTGAATCACTGACCCTTTTGCTCGCAGACTGGTGCTCAATCCACTTAGCCACACCGGCCAGGGCATGAGAAGACTCTTTATTTATGATCCCTCCTCCCCCTTTTTTGAGATTGGAAGAGGGTACAACTGCAGAAATGATAAACAGCTCGGGATCTGGTCCACTCCATAGCAAACCCTGCCTTCTTCCTTGGGCAACTGCTGTGGCACTGTGGACGGCCAGGGCCTCAAGGGCATCTGACAGCTTCAGCAACGATCACCCACCTACCTCTTCGGTCACCTCCTCATAATTCCCAGAACTACTCTGCACCAGGAACTTTAAATTCCAGTCTTGGGACACAACCTTTCACCCTCCTAGTCCTTACCTTCTCCTCGCACCCCCACTGCGCCTGTCCTTCCTTCTCTCCATGCCCTGGAGTCCCTGGCAGTCTTCTCCCGCTTCTTAGTCAGTACTCTAGGTTCCCAGCCCCTTGCTCCTTCAAAAAAGTCAGCCTCACTAACCTCCAACTGTGGGTGATCCACACATTTGCCCTTTACAAGTCCTTACTCCCAGGCTGCAAAGTGCAACTACAGAAAACCATCTACCCTCACGCACGGGGGCCCCTTTCAAGTCACGTTTCAAATCTCCGTCTCATCCGGGCCATTGTCTCTGCCCAGAGTCTCCCTGTGTCTCCACAGTCAGCTCCCTCCTCCCCCGGAGAGGCTTTCTCACTTCATCTTCGGTGCTGTGGCTACTCTCACTTACAGATAAGGAAACTGAGGCTTAGAAAAGGTAAGTGACCTGCTTTCCTTTATCTGGAGTCTGATGGGAAGGCTTGTTCCACATGTGGAAGTCTGCCAGGAAGGGATGCCAATCAGTTTATCTCCGAGAAAGCAGCCCTGGTGGCTGACCAGACCTGGCTGCTGGCCAGTTTTCAAACTGGAGGTACCAGGACTGTGTCCAAGAGCTGCTCACTCCGAGTAGCTGACGGGTCGGCAGGAAGACCATTTCTCAGAGCACCATTTGGGAAAACGCAACTTTACTCTGGCTCGCTTTATTGGTCTGATCTGGACACAATGCAGTTGTTCACAGAACAGGCCACACACCCTTTGCCAAGCTGACCTGGCCTCTGCGTGCAAAGCAGATTACATCAGAGCCCCCAGTGGCCTCCTCCGGGAGCCGGCGGCTGGTCAGAGGTGGGCCGCAGCTGGCTCCTAGTTGGACAGTTCCGCTAAGGAAACTATGAGTCCCTGATAGTGTGTGCACATCTGTTTTTTTTTAAACTAAGCTCAGTTGAAAAGGAAAAGATTTTGAAAACAAAGAAAGAAAAAAAGGCTTCAGAACTTCCCTTTTCAAAACAAACGGTGCGCAGTCCCCACTGCAGATGCATCCAGGCCTTTCTCTGTTCCTATTGTAGCTCACAAAACAACAGTAATGTGAACTCCAGCCTCAACCCCTCTGAGGCTCCTGCTGTGCTCTGGGCAGTCGCCGAGGCTGGGGAAGCCTGGAGAGGACTGAGTAATGGTGATGCACAGGGCCCAGCACTTCCCAGGGGGAACGCCCCGCTGGGGGGAACGGCCAAAGGAAACCCAGGCCCATCACCCGGAGGTCCAGTCACGCACACTATGCAATCTCTAGGCCACTGTCCTCGTTTGAAACCAGAAAAACAGCAGGAAAGAAGAAAACTGTCAACAACACCATTTTGGGATTTAATCCACCCAAAGGGAGTCTTGCAGGGTGCTTTCTACTGAAGACCACGTTCTGGGAGATCTGACCAAGCAATCAGAAGCCCACCCCCTTCAGCTAGTCCAAGTCTCCATTGTCACTCCATAAGCAGGGATGCAGATCTCCATATGTGGAGCAAAGGTTCTGGCTGGACCAAGTCAGTTTGTAGTAGTACATTGGAGGCCAGTGGCCAGACCATCAGGGATTCTAAGAAATTCCATGCAAGCAATGTCCTGAGCACCTCGTCCATTCATTCCACACACACTGACAGAGGGCCGATTGTATGCCTGACACTGGGCATAGTGGTGAGGGATGCTGTGTTGAACAACGCAGACCTGGTTCCCGCCCTCCTGAAGCCCCGAGACTGGCAAGGCAGATGAGATGGCAGAGTCATACAACACGAGGAGAGGTGAGAAAAGGGCCACACAGAGAAGCGCTGCTGCAGCAGGGCCGTGCATGACGGGCATGTCTTACACAGGCGGGGATTCACAGAGAGAGTCCCCAAGGAAGTGACATGCAGGCTGAGATCCACCTGGGGGGCTGAACGGGGAGGAAGAATTATGAGCTGAGAAGACACCACGTGTGGAAGCAGGCAGGACAGCGACACGGTGCGTCAGGTGAGAGGAGGGAGGACAGGGCAGCTGCAGCCTGCAGAGTGTGGGTGGGGGACCAGAGGTGAGACTGGTGGCTGGATGCAGGCCAGATCCACCATGCACGACCTTGCCGGGCAATTAAGGTGCTGGAACCTTAGCTTATGTGGAATCGGAAGCCACTGAAGCAATTTATACACAGGAAAGATGTGTTCACTTCCACCCGCAGTGTGAGAAAAATGCCTATGATGGCCCAAGAATGGATGAAGGTTGGGAGAGAGCTCGGGAAGAGGGGTCTGGACCTGGGCCAGGTGCCTGGGATTGAACCCTGGCAGGGCTCCCAGCCTACAGGGGGCAACACTGCTATCCGGACAGGCACATGCAAGGGGCTGCTTACCTGGTTAAACCTCCGGGTAAAGGCCACAACGTTTGGGGCGAGACTATGTTTCTCCTTCTTACTCCATCCACAGCTGGCCAGTTCCTAGGAAGCAGAGAGTCGATTTCAACAGCGGTTCTAACTGGGATGCAAACACGCCAGGGGCGTCTCACTGGAACACGGACATGAACGTGGGAAAGAGCAGGCCTTGGCCGTTCGTACCTTCACCAGGGTGAGAAGATTCTCCTCCTCTCGGGAGGAAGGCTAGGTGGGGAAGCTTCTTGGGACCCCCTAGAGGTGAGGAGAAGTGGCCGGCCACATTTCTCAGGACTTCTGTGCCAAAATATCCTTAATTCCACCACTGCTACTCTGCTAGTTTCTCTGGGATCCGAAGTCCCTTCTTGATGCAAACTGAGAGAGGACGTAGTGTGTTTTTATTTTTTATTCTGTTTTATCCTCACTTGAAGACATTTTTTTCATTGCTTTTAAAGAGAGAGAGAAGCATTGATGGGAGAGAGAAGCATCGATCGGTTGTTTCCCTTGTGCACCCAGACCGGGAATCACATGTGCCCAAAGTGGGGATGGTACTCGTCTGGGCTGGAGATCACATGTGCCCGGACTGAGGACAACACCTGCAACCCAGGCGTGTGCCCTGACTGGGAACCAAACCAGCAACCCTTCAGCTACAGGACAACACTCCAACCAACTGAGCTACATTGGCCAGGGAGGACATAATGTTTTAACTAGTAGGATTCATCCCCCACAGGCAAACTTAAAATTAAGATCTGGCTGGAGGATCTCAGATTTCATCAGCCACATGACGCCCTCCATTCCTGGAGTCCAGGAAAGCCAATCCAAGCCCACTGCAATCAGAGCAGCTTCTGGGATTAGCTCAGACTCCTTCCCGAAGCTGGGCCCTCCCACCTCTCCTGCAGCCAACGGGGACAGAAGGAGAGGTTCCCTGGTGTATCTTTTTCGGGGGCCATGTTCTCTTCTTTTTCAGCAGGTTTGGCATTATAATCTGATGAAATCACCCAAACTTTACCTGTCAGTGAGGCGGGTTCCGATCCAAGGGAGATAACAGGAGTGACCTAATGGGGTTCCTTGGGGTTACATGAAGGGCCAGGGAAAAGCCACCACCCAAAGGTCTACCATTCTCAGCTTATGCCTGGGCAGCCCTGGCAGAGAGGGGGGAAAGGGGAGCTCCTGAAGTTCTCTGCCCCTAAGTCACAAGACCTCCTCCTTTTCATTCCTATCAGGCCTCAATATTATTAATAGCATTATCTTGCCACACACCTGAAACTAAGATCTTTAGTGAGAGCTGGCAGCCCAGCAGCTGGAACAGACACAGACCTGGGTCTACTGGGGAATCAAGGGGGCACCAGGGCTGACCCAAGAGGAAACCTGCTGGCTGAGCAGCGACGCCTCTGCAGGGCCCTGCCCTTCACATGCACCTCAGGACCCAACTACAAACCACAGATGGACACTTGTGGGAAGCCTGGCTGATGGAATGGACAGCTCTGGGTACAAGGTGAATGGCCTGCCTGGCCTTGAGGACGACTGAGACCCAACCAGGAGGTAGTAAACCCAGCGCCTCCCCCCGCCCCTCATTCCTATAAATGGTGTCATCACCCTGCCAGCCCCCCACGTGGGAAAACACGGCCATCATGACCCTGCCAGTCCTTCACCCCCACTACGCAGACCCGAGCAGTAATGGCGAGGACACTGACTGGTGCTGCTGTTTATCGAGGACCCCCCACGCCAGCACTGGACAGGCCCTTCTCCTGTCGCCCCATCTCATCCTCAGCAGGTCCATTCTAACAAAGAGGAGAAGGGCCCCCTATCGCTGTCCCCTGGAATCGACACTTGGACTCTAAGCTTTTTCAGAAGTGCACATGAGTCTCTGTGAGACGTAGAACTGACCCAGGTACCACACTCTCCTGGCTCTGAAAATGCACATTGGAACCTCTCCTCAAGTGTGTACCTGACTTGTCTGCATTGCATTTACCTCTCCCACCCTGCTCCACCTTTTCACCTATTTTAATTGTTTTGCAAGTGTATATTATTGCCCCTTCACATCTAATTGTGAGGACCAGAGCCCTTCTCCCCTGTGAACCCCAAAGCCAGTCCCAGAAAGGTATGGGTTACAATTCGATATAAAAGAGAATTCATCGATCTGATTTTCCAGGACTGAGGCCTGGTTGTGGCCTCATCTCTGGCTGACAATTATTTCCTTTGTTTTTTCTTTGCCCTGAGTTCTTTAATAAACAGCCGAAATTACACATGTGTGTGTGTGTGCACCTGTGCGTGGGGCACACTGAATTGAGTCTGTGGTCTCACCCCACACCACCAGCAATGTGGGAAGGCGTCCTGAGACGAGCTGTGCAGGCCTTCCAGCAAGACAGGCCAGGGCGGGCCTGGCCTCCACCAGCGCCTGCAACGACGCTCATCTTCTCCGAACCTCAGTTTTCTCATCGAGAGATCTGATTTCTGATTCGTGAGATCAGAACACAGAGAACCCAGCACCTGACAAGCATGTGATCAGCGCTCCCTCCCACCTCCTCCCAGGCTCACGCTGCCATCAGAATCAGCTCTAACCCCAACACCCCCGCTCTCTCCCACACCACACTCTTGTTGCTGCCTTGAATTATTTAAAATCTATTATTATTTCTCTTTCATTTTGCTGATGTCATGCAGGCAGGAACCAAAGCACATAGTTGACACATCTGCCCTGAATTTATTCGATTTGAACAGTTCTAAGATACTGACTCAAAAACCATATGTGCAGTTCTTGGGTTTTGACAATTCTCTCAGGACCGTTTTGCACTGAAAGACATGTAATATTTAAAATTAAAGCCCCAGCAGGGTAAAACACAGTTGAAGAGTTTCCTTGACAAAATGGAGCACAGGACTTAGAGCCAAAGCCCTGGCCCCACAGCCCGGCCCGTCGCTGATCTCCCAGGCAACCTCAGGTACCTTAACCTCTCCCAGCATCGGTTTCCTGGCAGAAGGACACAGGGATGCAGACACTAACTCCATGGACTTGCGGCAGAGACCACTGGAGAGCCTGACAAAAGGGGCGCCATGCAGGACAGAGGCCCAGCAGCATGCGGAGTATGAGCGCTCCTCAATGCTGAAATCTCCCAAGTTCAGCGCAGAAAGATTTATCAAGATGTCAACAGAAATCAGGCCCTTCTATCAACTAAAACAAGCCCTCAGCCCCACCCCTGGGCACTACTGCTCTTCTGCGTTCGGCCTGACAGGGTTACAAGAGGCTCCATCTGTGTGGAGCTGGAAAATGTGAGGTAATAGATCAGAACTCTTCCAGTCACTAACACCTGAAAGAGGTCCGTGCTATGGAATGGGTTTGAGAGTAATTTAAGTTAAACTTGACCAGAGGAGCCAGGGCTGGTTCGAGAAGGGAGACGGACTTGGGGCTGAAGCCGCTGAGGCCCCGGGAGCCCTGCGTCACTGAGGAGCCACTCAGCTGCCCCTGGGCCGAGTGGGGTGTGAGGAGGAGGGCAGGTGGCCTCACCCAGGCTGTCCGCAGTTCTGACTCTGAGTTCTCCGCTGAGGTCAACAGGCTGTGAGAGGAGAGTGGAGCCTGGACAGGGAGTCCTCTGCCAGCTGCTTCAGGGGCCTCTCCTCTGCTACGTGGATGTTCCCCCTCCGTCAGGGAGAAAAAGGATGTTGGAAGAAAACTTTCTGCCGCTAAACATACAAACGTTCCTTCTTCTGCCTTCAGCGGAAGGGAGGCCCCTTTCTCTCAGGCCCCACTCTCCGCCTTGGCTCGGGGTCACGGCTGCCCCCGCTCCAGAGGAGCTGCTGCCCTCTTTCCTTCCTGTATCTTCACCCTCTCCCTCTCTGATTTCTTCCCCCCAACACATTTTAATGTGCATAAGCCTCTCCATTAATTATGATAATGGTGACGGAAACAATGACAGTAGTAATGAAAGACATCTTTTCTAGACCTCCCATCTCCTCCGGCTCCTGCTCACGCTTCCTTCTCCTTACAGGTGAATTTCCTGGAAGGCTGTCAGTTCTCACTGTTTCGCCCCAGCTTCCCTCTCCTCCTCCTTCCACCCCCACCCTGCTCCACCGAAACCGCCCTCTTCCCTACCAGCCCCGAGGCCCTGGCGAGGCCGCCTTCTGCCAGTTTTCACTGGTCCTTGCCCTTCAGCCCTGTCTTCTTCTGGTTGTCTCCTCACCTCTCAGGCTCCCCATTCTCAGTCTTATTTTCCAGTTGTTTTTCTTTCCTGGCGCAGGCCTCCCGCCCCCACCCGAGGTCATCCGGGGTCGTCGTCTCCACTGGTCCATGCACACTGACACAGCTTCAACCATGTGTCTCTGTTCAGCCCGTTTCTCTCCTGAGGGCCAGACAAGGGTATTCAGCTTCCTCCTGGCCGCCCTGCCTTGGCATCCGCAGGCAACTCAGAACCAGCAGGCCCAGACCGAAAGGGTGTCTGACCAGCTGCCACACATAAAACACACCCCAGTGTGAGACTCATTTAGACGTCCATCCTGACATCAGAGGAGGGTGTTTACTACAAAGAAACTGTCTATGGACAGAAGTCCCTAACTGGTATAAAGACAGCTCTGTCTCAGTGTCCCATCTGCAGCACTCCAAGGTGACAGCTCGTGCCCACGCTGGCTTCGGCTTGCCCCGCAGAGCTCCTCTGGGCTGTGCTGACAGGAGCATCCCCTCTAGCCACCAGCTTTGTGCTTGGGTGTCTGGGAGTCAGATGTCCTGAAGTGGCCCAAGAAAGGCCTGCCCCTGACCACGTCTGGGGTCAGTGAGGTATGGCCCGGAAGAGGAGACCTGGGGAGCAGGACTAGTCCTCCCTAGAGACCTGCACAGGATCTAGGCCACCAGGCCACAGGGAGCTGGTGCCTACACAGGGCGCCTCCATACATGTGCTTAATTCTGACTGCAATCTCCTCCAAATCATGTTCCCCAAACACGCCCACACGGAAGATGCACCACCTCAAGGCAAGGTCATTAATATGACCTTGGGGACCACCACCAGCAACACTGTGCTTCCACTTCGCTCGACGGCAAGCTTTTACTCTTCCTCCCGGCCCATGCTCTCCCCGCTCCTCCCATC